TCCTCCCGGCGCCCGGTCCCGTCTCCGCCCCGACGCCGGTGGGTGCCGCCGCGGCTGCCCGCTTCCCTTCCCTTCCTTCCCCCCGAGGGGGCCGTGCACGGAACTGTACCCCCGGAAAGGGGGAGGTGAAGTCCTGCTCTTACAGCTCAAACAACAACAACAAAAAGCCCACTTCGTGTTACCTGCCGTAGAACACGTTGCTTTACTTCATCTCCAAGATACTCAGTCTCCTCCCCTCCAAGAATTAAAACGTGCTTTGCTTTTGCCCCGGATCACAATAACACCAAAATAAAAGGACAGAGAGAAATGGTTTTCAGACACATGATGTGTGTTATCGTTATCCCTGGATTAATGATTTGTAGAGCAGACATAAAGAATGATCTTGACCTTACATATTTTTATTTGAATTACAGGAAGGCTCATCTAGGGGTGAAAAAAACAGTTCATGCCAATACAGGCAGTAACTAGCAGCTCCTGGAGGGGGAATTTAATACCAGCCCTGTCTTCCTGTACTCTGTAGGTTCCAGAAGGAACTACTGCTTTAGTGCGACACAGAGATTGATTTTTCGTCTTCCGACTCTCCCTATGTGTCTTCCTTTCAAGGAGACATGGGCAAAACTATGGACCAGACAAAGCTACAGCTGAACACCAAGCAGGGCGCCATGCAGGGAAGCCAGTGAAGTGCTGGGGTGGTGCCTCTTGCAGGAATTTGTGTCCCAAAGCCGCCCATCAGGGATGCCTCCATTACCTTAACTACTCTGTAGCGGTAGGATGCTGTCAGTGGGACCCCGGGTTACCCCAGCACTCCCACCACACAACAGTCACTGCCCGGCTGGTGCCCAGTGCCCTTCCCAAGGGCTTATGCTGTCCTCGGCACAGAGGGGCATCCTCAAACTGAACGTGGGGCCCAGAGGGACAGGCACAGGTGGAAAGGGAAACAGGGTAAGGACAAGACGGGCTCTGCTGTCCCAGACCTGTGCTCTGCCCAGTACTTTTTTTCCTTTTTGCTAATACTGTACAGAACTACAGTATTAGAATTACAGCCACTTTTCTGTTAATATAACTGCTACGCCATTTTGGCATATTTTATCTCCCCAGAAAAACACACAACTTAAAACTTCCAGCACCTATTCCTAAGTAACTTCTCTGGTCAGCAAGACTGAAAAACAAACAAACAAATGAAAAATACCCCTGTCGACCTTTGGATTAAAGGTACCCTCAGTAGCTAGTGGGGAATTGGTAACAAATCAATTTGCTCTGTGTTCAGAAGCTGTGCTGTTGTAATGGCTGAGGATCCCTTTTACCAAATGGCTAATGCTTTTCCAGCTCCTAAACTGGGTAAAACGTCTATCCTGTACCAGACACATTCATCATAGACTTAACTGAAGTTTTCTAATACTACTTTAAGATTACATTTTGCCCAAAGCAACATTCCTGGCGTGACTGCAGAGGACTTGTCTGCAGATCTCTTGCACTGATCTAGGAGCTGCCTGCATGCCGCACAGGCCACAGGGGTAGTCGAACACAAGAATGCCCCCCAAAATTAAAACAATCACTCAGAACTTCCCTGAACATTTAGAAGCATTTTTGAGCTGTGGCATTATGAAGAGAAACCATACAAAAGAAAAAGCATCCTGGAAACACATGGTGTTACTAAATCTGACGGATGGATCTCCAGCATCATGGGAAACAGTCTATGGCACTGTCTTCCTCGCTCAGCACAGACTGAAAACTGCTGCTTTTGTGAATAAGGTACATCGGACAAATAATGCATGAGAGGAACCTACCACACTCCCTGCATGTGACTGTTGGGCTCTGGCAGAACCATCCATTCTCTACTCCTCACCATTCCTGTCTTCCTGTTTTCCAACCTGGGACTGCTGTGATCCATAAAAGTCACTGAAACATTTCCAAGTGTTTAAAAAAGCTTTCTCAACTGGAAAAAAAAAAGGGGGGGAGGGGGAGGGGGGAATAATAGAGAGTGTTCTCACATAATTCCTGGGGAAGTGAACCTTGTTTCAATTCCTCCAATCTTTATTTAAATTTGTTCTCATGGGTTCATTAACCCAATACTTTTCTAGTACACAGAGTTTCAGAAGGGGTCTAATTAATCAGCAAGTATATTACTCACCTTTCTTCTTTGTATTCTTAGTAGTAAGAGAAGGAACATAAATAAAAGCAAAATTGACACCCAGATGACACCCCTAGGGAAGTGTTACACCATAAGTATTCCTATTTAAGGCAGAACTGGCCCTGCTCTACGTTTGCAGCCAAACACAAAGACAGCCCATGCTTGGTTGGCTTCAAGGGACCAATAAAAGTGGGTACTTAGGCTCTGGTGGCGCAATACACACTCGTATCTGGCATATGAATCGCACACTTAGCACAAACACTGAACAATACTAAATGGTTTTTCAGAAATGCTACAGAGGGGTTTCAATTTTCATCTCCTGAATTTTAAGGAATGATGAACTGGAAGTTGTTCAAACAAAGCCCATGAAATTTGATGCTCAACCAAGAAACCAAAACCACACATGGAACAGGCTTCCCTGAGGCATCCAGCTGTTACAAACAGGCCGATCTCCCATGCTCTCATGAAGCACAGCCCAGCTTTGCAGGAGGGCAGCAGGCAGGCACACAGCACCAGCCTTTGCTATACGAAAAATCCCACCTGGGAAAAATCATCCTGGAGGTCTCTGAAGAGGAGAAAGGGAAAAAGCAATAGGCTTCAATTCCTGCCCTCTTGTACTAGTCTCCAGAGTGACATATTGACCGATGAGGGCAAGTTATAGCTTACTCTCATGGAAAAATTGCTAAAAAAAAAATATAAAATAATTAGTTATATTCTAGACTAATCTACCAGCACAAAGGCAAGAACACCTGCAAAGTGGGTTTGTTTGTTGGGTTTTTTTCTTACATAGTTCTGTGCAATAAGGAAGTTCCTCTCCTTTAATTCCATATCTCAGTATTTCAAAACAATTCCCCTTCAGATACGCCTTTGTCCTCTGCTTACTGATCATAAACATATATATCCAAATTACTTTGAGAACTTATGTTTCTATTGATAACATTTTATGGTTTAATTATGAAAACTGATTATCCATGTAGATTCTTATTGCTAATAAAGCAAGCTGACAAATCACATACCTGAGATGATGACACACAGCTGAGAGAAGAAACATGCTCACTTCTGATTCAGCATCCTGAAACCTAATGATGTCGTATTTTTAAAAGTAATGCAGAAAGTGGATGAGGAATGTTCAGAAAAATCTGGTTATCGATTTAACTACCAGTAGGAAACAGTATGAAACGCAACAAATGCCGATGTCGTTCCCCCCCCCATGTAAAACCGTTGAAAGTAGTGGAGGTTTCATTTTCTTTTTTGTCACACATCTTGTTATTTTCACACTAAAGGCAAGAATTACTCCAAGAAAGAAGTCTCTCAGGGATGTTTTACTACAACTTAACACAAAATCCACTCTCACTATCAGATGGAAAAAGAAATCCAACCACCGACAGACTCTCTTTGCTCCAGTTCATACCGTTTTCACATTTGAGGGCAGAGCTGTGTCGTTCCCCAGCAGCCCGTGTCACCGGATCCAGTCACTCACAACAACCTAGGGATTTGGGGTCCACAACCTAACGCGAGTTGACCCAAGATTACAGTTCGCAAGGAGTTTTTACAGCACCCAACACCAGAATGGACATTTAAAACTAACAGCAGACATCGAAACAAAGCCTATTTCTAAGCCAAGTGCCTGTGAGACCCCCGGCTGCCAGAACACCCCACTGCGCTGCCGTGGGGAGCGTGGGCCTCCCCTCATCCCGAGGGAGCGGGGGGGTCCGCCAGCAGCGCTTACACCCCGCTGCGTTCCTTCACGGCATTTTCTCAAGAAAACCCTGCGCGTAGAGGAATAAAAAGACTCTGACGTCCCCAAATCTGAAACCCTTACTTTAAACCTACAAGTTTAAGGACACAAAGCCATACCCTGGATGGCGGGAGGGGGAAGCAGGACTAAAGACAGGGCGCTCGGCGCAGGGGGGAGCGGGCCCCGCGCGCCTCGGCCCCTCACCTCAGCCGCTCCCCTCGCGGCGGGACGGCACGGCACACCACACCACAAGCCCCCGAGAAGCCCCGAGG